TTGTTATATATTGACCTTTTCCAAATGGCCTGCAGAGCGCTAGCCTGAGATTTCTTTTGTAATTACTTTTTGTTTGTTTGTTTATGAAACTAATGTAAATTCCATCTCTATTTGTATCACACTTTATTTAGAATTTATGTGAAGGGGCTTTTTCAAAGTCCCAAGACAGTTCTATGATCTTTTTATTCCACTTTCCCGTGAACTTTTAGAAGCCTCTTTCTGGAATTGAAATCTCAAATTCCAATATTCCCAACTCGGAGCAGATTATTTGGGAAATTCAGAAAATAAAATGAGAGAGGGGCCGGAGGAGGGAAATCATTCATCAGCCTAGTCCTTGATTTTTCTCTCAATTTCAGTTCTTTGTTCTTCCTCTCCATAGGTAACTTGGCCCAGACAAGAGCCAGGATAACAGCAGCCTCAAGGTCATTGCCTCCACATTTCAGTGCTGGGCGAATCAAGGTGAGTAGCAGGTTTGCACCCCAAATGGTGGGGGCCCCTGTCCCTTGGATCAGCCTCGGGTGAGCAGCACTAGTTTATTCATCCAGCCCATTGTCGGGCAGTGGGACAAAGATCTCAAGGGCATTTAGGTCATCACAGGTTAGAAACATGAACTGTCATCCTTACAATCCTGCTCCACAGAAGCACCAGAAGTACTGTAGCCTTGGGGAAGTAGTGGGTTATGCATCAGTCTATTAACCACAAGGTCAGCAGTTTGAAGCCAGCAGCTGCTCAGAGGGAGGAAGAGAAGATCTTTTACTCCCATTGTTACAGTCTCAGGAACCCCCATGAGCAGTTCTGCTCTGTCCTATTGGCTCACTGAGAGTGGAGATTGATGACAGCGAGTTTAGAAAGAAAGAAAGCATTTTTTCCTTAAGACTTTTGCTAACGTAAAACAACAAAGTTGCCCGTGAAGTTGATTCCAGCTCATGAGCAGAATTGCGCTCCATGGGATTGTCAGTGGTTGATTTCCCCCCAGAAGTAGATCTTCTAAGGCACCTCTGGGTGGACGCCATGCTCTCATCTTCTGGTTAGCAGCTGAGCTGTGTTAACCTTTGTGCCGCCCAGGGACTGTCACCAACCTGCAGAGGAGGAGAGCAGTGACCCAAAGGACAGGGCCTCGAGGCCAGACACTGAAGACCGGCTTTGCCTGCTGGAAAAGGAGCTGTAAAGAAGGGATAATAAAAATCCAGCTCCAAATACTTTCAGCGGTTCCACCCTTTTGGCTAATGTGTAGCAAGGGTCTCAAGGCCTGGCTGGTTAATGTTCATTGTAAATACTAACAACAAAGAGCAATGATCTTGAAGATGACCGAGTAATAATATGATCAGTCACATCTGGAAATGTTCCTATTTTTTTCTTTTACTCTGAATATTAACCAATTTATTTCCCAAAGAATAAATGGTTGCAATACATAAAATAGCGTTGAATATTAGCCCTCAAATATATATTTATCTATTTAAATTCCCCCTGAAAATGAAAGACTTACTTGCACATAGGTCAACTCTCCAATTGATTTTTGTCAACCGTCTTTTTATACCCCCATTGCTATTAACATCCAGTGGTGGATACTCTATTTTTTAACCTTGCTACATTGTGGCAAGATAGTAGGGATATTTAACATGAAATATATAGGCCCCATAGAAGCCCTGGTGGCATAGTGGTTACTCATGAGGCTGCTCACCTCAAGTTCAGCAGTTCGAAACCACCAGCCAGCCACCCCAGTGGAGAAAGATGAGGCTTTCTACACCTGTAAAGGGTTACAGTCTCAGAGACTCACAGGGGCAGTTCTACCTGCCCCACTGGGTCACTGTGAGTCGGAATCAACCTGATGACAGTGAGTTTTAAGTTTTGATACAGGTCCTGAGAAGAAATTTATATAGGAATATCAGTGGTTCTTCCGAAAATCAGCCAATAAAAACCTGATGGGCACAACAGTTTGACCTGTAATGCATTCTGGGCTGGCACAGGACCCGGCAGCATTTCCATTCCTCGTGCACACTCTGCTCGGAGTCAACCTTGAGTTGAGGCTTAGTAAGATCAACTAGTGGTTCTGAGAACTTCTTGATAGTCTATGCGAACTTTTGGTTTTGTTGAATAGTATGCTTGTAGGAGTCCCTGGATTCTACCAGTCTGAAGAGGGCCATGCCACAAAGAGATGAATGACTGTTGTGCTGCATTCCCTATCAGCCCATGTTGCTCTTCTTTTTTCCAAGAGTTGTTTTTGACTACTAGGGCCTGTCTTCCACGCTCAGAATGTCAGCACAGTGTCACCTGCCTCCCTGCACTAGTCAGACTCTCGCCCACGTGAGAAGTATGTGGCAAAATAAGAATAATGGCGATTAAATGAAAATGACTAGAGATTTCTTTCCACTTGGACAGAAGATGAGTTGAAAATTCTAATTTATGAATCTGAAAATATGAAGGGCAACAACGGCAATAAAAATAATCCCCGTTAAATTATCAAGGGCTCATGAGGGAGAGGGGTATAGAGAGGAAGGGGAAAAATGAGCTGATACCAAGGGCTCAAGTAGAAAGCAAATGTTTTGACAACGATGATGGCAAAAAATATACAAATATGCTTGACAATGGATGGATGGATGGATTGTGATAAGAATTGTAGGAGCCCCCAATAAAATGATTACAAAATAATAATAATCCCCATCAAAGAAGAACAAGAAATGAAGCTCAATGTTTTTAGACATGAGGCAAATATAAATCAAAATCATAATGAGGTATCACTTCACACACACACAAGGATGTCTGTGATAAGAAAACGGTGAAAACCAGTAAGTGTGGGTGAGGATGTGGAGAAATCAAAACCCTCGTACATTGTCAATGATGGCTCAGCTGCTCTGGGAAATAGTTCAGCAGTTCCAAAAAAGTTGAACATAGAATGGCCACAGATGAATATAGCAGCCCTATCCCTGGGTCTATATGCCCCCAAAGAATTGAAAGTAGAGACTTGGATACTTGCATACCTGTGTTCATTGTGGCATGGTTCACAATAGCTAAAAAGTAGAAAGAACTTAAGTGTCCATCAACAGATGAATGGATAAGCAAAATGTGGTCTATCCATGTGTGTTAGGCCAGATTGACTAGGGAAGCTGATTCACTGACACTCATGTATGTGTAAAAAAGACCGTTATATCAAAGAGTAATTGGATATAAAGAAAACATCGCAGCCCAGTCCAAATCAAGTCCTTAAGTCAGATACTAGTCCATAAATCCCTCTTCAGACTCACACAGCTACATGCAATGATGGAGAATGCATGAAGATCACAGGCCAGTGGGTGGAGAGTCTTGTGGATCCAATGGTAGTGGAAACATCACAAGGCTCTGGCAGGTCTTAGTCATGTGGCTCGCCAACAGGAAGGTGAAACAGAGAGAGAGAGGAAATTCCTAGGATCCTCCTTATGAGAAGACCATGCCCACCAGGAGGTACCATCAGGTTGTGACCTAATCGACAGAGTAGACTCCACCCATATCTTCTTAAGGATGCCATATTGGTGCACACACCAAAAAAAAACAAACCCTAACTATCACACCAAGCTATAGAATATTATTCAGCCATAACGAGAAACGAAGTTCTTATTTACAAGGGCTTCAAAAAGTTCAAGGAAAATGGAATGAAAAGGTAATGGGTTGCGTTGGTGTTGTGCTGTGGGGAGAGAGTCAGCTTTGTCAACCCTACACTGAAACTGGCTGAGGTTGGTGCAGTGCAGAGCTTGAATGAAGCCACTACTACCAGTCTGACCAGGAGGCAAGGTCTTCAACTGAGCACTTCGGGGATCAGAAAGAAGGAGATACATCAAGTTCAAGTCATTGGCTAGGTTAGCAGTGAGATTCACTTCACGATGAAAATGACAAGAAATTCGGAGACTCACACTGTCAAAGACTGAAAGTTCCCACGAATTCACTCAGGTTTCTCTGGGAAGGTCTGAGAATTGCTGATAATGATAATCATACTCCAAAAAAGACCAGAGATGGAGGAAGAAGGTGTAATTTAAGTTTATCAGGAACAAAGGAGGGGGGGGGGAATAGGAAGCGGTGCTCATTAAACACTTTAGATATTCATTTGTAATGCAGAGTTAAAAACAGAATTGAAAACTGGTGCCTCTCTTTAAAATATCTGGTATTTTGAATTCTAGTGTTTTCTATTGTGCTGATTTTTGCTGATCAAGCCTCATTCCTTTCATCAAGCCCCCTTCCTCTTAGAAGTGACATATCTGCACAGAGAGGTCACCTTCTACTCACCTCCACCCACCCCCAAAAAACACAACCAAACTCACTGACATTGAGTCCATTCTGACCCATATCAACCCTATAGGACAGAGTAGAGCGGCCCCTATGGGTTTCTGAGATTGTAACTCTTTAAAGGAGTAGAAAGCCTTATCTTTCTTCCAAGGAGAAGCTGGTGGCTTTGAACTGCTGACCTTGGGATTAGCAGCCCAACAAGAATCCATTGTGCTAGGTCTGTGTATTTTCAGGCTCGTGAAATAAATAAGCACAGCCAGTACCAGCATTCGCAATGACTCTTCGATTGGCCCTGAAGATCAAGCACGTGACTGCTTCACTCCCGCCCTTTGACCTTCAGTGAGAGATGGAAGGTTTTGAGAGCTGATCTGTGGGAAAAAACAAGCTTTCCTTCCCTGGAAGCTACTTTGAAAATCCTAGCGTCTGGCCCAAAAGAAAAGGACTATTCTGTTGCAGTCATGATGACAGATGGTGAGAGTAATGACTAAGATATAATGACTTCGGAAATTTTCTCCAAAGATGTCTTCGCTGAAGAAACAAAGTATTTAAAGCTGAAAATAAAATCTTAGGCTGGAAGATTCCAGCAAGTTTTCAATTTCATTAGACATTAATAAAGTTATTCATGCAGAAGTGTCTACAACAGAACACTGCTCTTTTTAATTTTATTTGTACTTTTTGGCCTGGGATATGGGTTTTAAATAGACAGTGTTCATACCAGCTTTGTTCAAATAAGCAAAGTATTTGTAAAAACTGTAAAACAGAAATAAAGAATGGAATTTTCCACTAACGTTTTGAAAGCCCCACGTAGATGCTATGCAAGTGGACCTTGAAAACGTTGTGCTAATTGAAATAAGACGGACACAAAATAATCAAAATATTATACTTTATAAGATCGCAAACCATGTAGAGAGGCAGTATATAAGGCAAAAGGAGGGAAGGCTCAGAATCAGACAGGCTGGGGTCAGATCTAGGCATTGCCACTTACTAACTGTAAGACTCTGGGAAATGCCCCTAAAATATCTGTGCTTTAACGTCTTCATATTTAGAATATGAATAATAATACTACTTACCCAGTGGTGGGATTCAAATATTTTAACAACCAGTTCACTGCCCTACTGACCATTTTAAATGTTAAAAAAAGATAGACCAAAGTGTAGTTTATTATTTCATACAGTTAATACTTAAATAAGAGCAATAAAAGAGGTACACAAAACTAGATTGTTATGAGTTTTCATATATTAATGAAAACATATTAAATAATAACTGACAAAATGATAAAACTTATTTAAGATATTTCTATATTGCTTCTTGATTAGCATCCTCATTTGCAACATTCTTTGATTTAAAAAAAATCATTTTATTGGGGGCTTGTACAACTCTTATCACAATCCATCCATCCATCGATGGTGTTTCGCACATTTGTACATTTGTTGCCATCATCATTCTCAAAACATTTGCTTTCTGCTTGAGCCCTTGGTATCAGCTCATTTTTCCCCTCCCTCCCAAACCCCTCCCTCACGAACCCTTGATAATTTATAAATTATTATTATTTTGTCATGTCTTACACTGTCCGATATCTCCCTTTATCCACCTTTCTGCTGTCTGTCCCCCAGGGAGCGGGTTATATGTAGATCCTTGTGATCAGTTTCCCCTTTCTACCCTACCATCCCCTTCGCCTCCTGGTATCACCACTCTCATTATTGGTCCTGAGGGGTTTATCTGTCCTGGTTTCCCTGTGGTTCCAGTTCTTATCTGTACCAGTGTACATGCTCTGGTCTAGCTGGATTGTAAGGTAGAATTGGGATCATGATGGTGGGGGGAGGGGGAGCGGCATTCTTTAATTTTATCTGAGCGTCATCGGCTGTGCGAGTTTTCCCTAAC